CAGCAGCATAATAATGCACAATAATCTGTTGAGTTCTTCGTTATGGTTATTTAGCAGTCACCCAGTGTTTCTTGCTTTATGCAGTTTTGCCAAGATGGCAATGTAAACACATAAATGGCTCTGTCTCTCTGTCTCTGTCTCTGTCTCTGTCTCTCTGTGTGTGTGTGTGTGTGTTTGTGTGTGTTTAAATAAACTTGGGTCCTTATACTTGCAAGGCAAACACTTTACTGGCTAATCTGTCTTTCCAGACTGATATATTTGGGTTTTTTGAGACAGGGTTTCTCTGTGGCTTTGGAGGCTGTCCTGGGACTAGCTCTTATAGACCAGGATGGTCTCCAACTCACAGAGATCCACCTGCCTCTGCCTCCCGAGTGCTGGGATGAAAGGCGTGCGCCACCACCGCCTGGCCCCAGCCTGTTTTTAAATTATTTTTATTTTTTCTTATTTAATAGGTGAAAATGCTATCTCTGTAATACTGCTCTTGCAGAAGGCTTGAGTTCCTCAGTGCCCACACCAGGAGGCTCACAACTGCTTGTTAACTCCAGATCCAGGGGATATGGCCTCTGGGCACTGCACACATGTGTGCATGTACACATGCACACAGACAAACACACAGTTTTAAAAATACAAATACTAATACAAACACAAAAATACATTTGAGATAGTGTTTCTCTGTGTAGTCCTGGCTGTCCTGGAACTCTGTAGACCAGACTGACCTCAAGCTTACATATCCTCCTGCCTCTGTCTCCTGAGTTCTGGGATTAAAGGCATGGGCCACCACAGCCCAGCAAATAAAATATTTTTTTAAAATGGTGTGTCTGCCAATTTCCTTGGTGTTTTTCCCATTATTCAGGAGGCTTGAAGATCTTTCTATGGCAATCACTTCTTTGTGATGTATAGGTATAAACATTTTTCCTTGTTTCGAGAGAGAATATCTTATATAACCTAGGCTGGCCTTGCATGCACACTCCTGCTGTTTCTATTTTTGTTATAGGCATGAGCCACCATGCCTAGCAACATAGTTCTTGTTTGTTTTTGTCTTTTAAATGTTTGGAGTTTTTTGTTTTAAATCAAGGTCTCCTCTATAGCTCACATTGGTCTCAAACTTGTGATCCTTCTACCTCTGCACTCAGAGTGCTGGGATGACAGACATGTGCAACTGTACTCTGATTGGATGTAAAATTCCTTCCTTCCTTCCTTCCTTCCTTCCTTCCTTCCTTCCTTCCTTCCTTCCTTCCTCTTCCTCCTCTTTCCTTTCCATTCCTTTCTTTTTCCTTTTTGTTTTGGGACAGGGTTTCTCCGTGTAACTCTGACTGTCCTAGAATTACTTTTGTAGACTAGGCTGGCCTTGAACTCACATAGCTCTGCCTGCCTATGCCTCCCAAATGCTGGGACTAAAGGTGTGCAACACCACTGCCTGACAGATGTAATTCCTTTTTAATGCTTAAGACTTTTTACTTAACACATGAGATTACCAGGTATTACACTTGTGATTTCTGTGATATATTTAGAGACTCCTAGTGCAATATTATGAATTTTCTTAATCTTGTGACTTTTATAGTTTAAAAGGTGTTTAAAATTTTTTTTGAGACAGGGTTTCTCTGTATAGCTTTGGAGCCTGTCTTGGAATTCACTTTGTAGACCAGGCTGGCCTCTAACTCACAGAGATCCCCGTCTCTGCTTCCTGAGCGCTGGGACTAAAGGTGTGCACCACCCCACTGCCAGGCTTTAGACAGCTGTCTTGAAGCCTGCTGCTGTAAGCCAGGATCAATGTCAGAAGTCTTCAGTGGACTCCACTTCCCAGATGAATGCAATGAACAACGTAAAATCCTAATACTAACGAGTGCTGCTCTCCTGCATGGTGTCTCTCACCACTTCACATTTCTGCACAAGGTCTGCACCCAGCGAGGCCTGGCTGGGGCTGATGCCATGGCTCAGCAGTAGGGCACTTGCTTAGAATCCCCCCAGTGAGGGTTTGTGGGTGTGGTTTAGTGGTAGAGTACCTGCTAGAATCCTCCAGTGAGGGGCTGGGGTGTGGCTAAGTGATAGAGCTTCTGCCTAGAGCTTCCTCCCCCAGTCAGGGGCTGTGGGTGTGGCTATGTGATAGGAAACTTGCCTAGTGAATCAGGGAGTCCTTACCCCCCACCCCATCTGCTTATTCTTCTGCCTCAGTATAGGCTTCTTTCCATTGGCCTCATCTGTATACCCACCATCCTGGATGTATAAGTATCTGGAGAAGAATCAGATGAGTCCCAAGGAGTGGACTGAGTTGTTAGTCTAACACAAGCCACTTGACTGTCTTGGACACAGGTTCTGAGAAACCTCTGGTTTACTAACGGAATGCGTACAACACCCCTTGCCTAGCCATCACTGCCACTCCCAGGAATAAGCCTATTGCTCAGAATCAGTGGGTTTCCATCTCAACCACTGAGCAATGGGGTCAGGAGCTGGCCACCATCAAGAAAGAGCTCCAGGAGCCAGGTATGGTGATGCACACTTGTAATCCCACCACTCCAGACACTGAGACAGGAGGATGTTGAATTTATAGTTAGATTGGGCTACATAGCAAAACCCTGTCTCAGAATATCAGAAAAGGGTCTGGTAAGATGGCTCAGTGGTTTACTGCACAAGCCTGAGTTTGATCCTAAGGATCCTGGTAGAAGACAACTAATTTTTGAAAATTGGTCTCTCTGACCTCCATATGCCCTCTTGGCACATGTATGCTTACACACACACACACACACACACATTAAAAGTGGAAAGTGATAAAGACAAAGGGTCCAATTCTGGCTCATGCATGTGTCCATATATGTTCAGGAAATATCAAAATAACAAAATGATATCATATCACATCTTATAAAAAGGTTAATATTTTTAAAGTACCATTCCCATGGGGTTCACATTTCTTTCCCACTATCACAAAGCCAAAAATATTGAGACTTTGTATGTGGGGATGGCTGGTTATTAACTTTCAGTCCCTGGACTTTGGGGTGTTCTCTATGCCTCTCCTCAATTCATGTCCTCTGCCTTGGCATGAGCGTTTCACAGCATCCTCCAGGTAAGGGCTCAGTTTAGTGAGTGTCAGTCATCTCTTCCTGCTCCTTTGAGGAGATCCACATCCATGTTGTCGTCTCCAGGACTCCTTGTGACAGAGCCATGTTCTGCAGTCTCTGCAGATATCATGGTTTAATGAACCATCTTTCTTTCTGAACTCTACAAAACATGCCTCCTAACCATGCAGAGTGAATAAATAAGATCAACTCTGCTATCTCAATGACTTTTTCTTTTGCCTTCCTATGTAGCCCAGGCTCAAGTTTCTTGTTTCACTACATGCACCTTTTTGGAGGTAGTGGTGATGGGAATTTGGTGTGTGTGTGTGTGTGTGTGTGTGTGTGTGTGTGTGTGTGTGTGTGGTCTCACTATGTAGCCCTGGCTGGCCTGGAATTTTCACAGTGTAGACCAGGCCTCCAACTCACAGAGGCCCCGTGCATCTATGCATCTACATTCCCAGGGCTTGTATTAAAGACATACCCAATTACCTTATTATTTGAATAGGGCCTTGGCACAATTCCCCAAGTAGGCTAGGGTGGCTGGCTGGGGGAACTGCAGGCATCCAACTGGGTTCTACTCCCAGCACCACAGGAAGGGGATGGGAGGCAGCCTTAGAAGGAAAACCTCAAGCAGTTGAGGTCCCTGAAATAGATTACTATCCAGAAATGTCTGAGGATCGCAGGAGCTGCCTTCACAGTGGGGCTCAAAAGAAGACATTGTTGTAAGGCCCAGGGACCAGGTTTCTGGCTGGTTTTGGTTAAGATGGGACTTAAATTCTTGAAGAAAAGAGCCCTTCCTAATAGGTTTGCCCACGATAAGTGTGTGCCTGTCATGTGGACAGAGCTGGGAGGCAAGCTGGGGGAAAGGCAGGGGAAGTGGGAGCTGCATCTTATTATCTTTGTTTTAGTATATATTCTTGTTTTTATTATTAATTTAATTTTAGATTTGATTTCATTTGAGGCAGAATCTCATGTAACCCAGGCTGGCCTCAAACTTTGAGCTGATCTTCCTGTCTCAACCTCCCAAGTGCTGGGATCACAGGTGTGTGCCACCCTGCCCTGTTTGTGTAGAGCTGGTGATGCGAACCTGAGCTTCATCCATGCTAAGCAAGAGTGCAACTTTCAGAACCTTGTTCCAGGCCAGGAAGTCCTTACCGCACCGGTTCACCTTCACATTTGAAGGAAGAGCTGTAGCCAGAGTCAGCCAGCCTTGCCTGCTGGGAGCACCGGCCAGGTTGGTGGCCATGTGGAGGGCATGTGTGTCAGGAGAGGGTGGTCTGGTGAGTGTGGCAAGGGGTAGCAGGCAGCTGAGCAATAGGGCACGGCTGAAGGGTAGCGAGTGTGGACAGGTGAGTGAGGGCACAAACGCGGGGAGCCCGTGAGTGCCGATAGATGGGGAGCAGATGAATGGAATACGAGTGGGGAATAGGTGTCTGTGGACAAGTGAGGGGGGAGACAGGTGAGTGGAAGAACAGATGCAGGGGGCAGATGAGTGTGTACGAGTGACAGGGATGGGTAGTGGACAGGGAACTAGAGACAGGCCAGTGCCTGGGAGCCTCATTTTTCCTCCTGCGCTTAGATCACTTACAAGATAGGCTCTGTCCCCGCAGGAGCAGATGGCGCAGGACAGGATGCGTGAAGGCTAAGTTTTGCTACAGGCCTCGGCTTTAGAGTGGGCAGGCACTGAATGCAACTTCCCCCTCTCCAGAGTGACAGCTCAGACAGAGCAGGGTGGTGTGCCCAGAACAGAGAGCATCTGGGCCAGAGAGGATCTGCACCAGCCAGGTTGGGTGAGCTTAGGGAGGGTTAGGGAGGCAGAAAGTCTTGGCGGCAGCGCGGGGCCTGCGCGACGGGGCGCCATTCAGAGGTAGCAGTGGGGCGGGCCCTGCGGAGGGCAGCGGTCGGTGGGCGACCCGCGCGGGCGCGGTGCGCGGGGCCTGGCGGCCGGCGGCGCGCAGCGGGGGCGGGCGGAGGGCGGCGCCGCTGCAGTGCGGAGACCCGCTTGCCGTCCCCGCGTCTCCGCGTCTCCGCGTCCCCGCGCAGTTGCCTCTGGCCTCGGGCACCGCGCATCTACAGGTACGTGGGCTGGGATGGGGTCTGCACGGGGACCTGACCCTACCCAGAGTTGGGTCTCTGCTGGAACTGGGGGACCCACGGGGACAGGAGGGATTTGGGGAGCTGCAGGATGGGCCGGGTCGTGGTGGTGGTGGTGGGGCTGCTGGTGTCCGAGGTGGAACCAGGCCCTTGCGCAGGCGCCCAGGACAGGGTCGGGAGGATCGCTTGCACCGCCAGGGTCTGGGGGCACTCTGCACCCACCACGATCTGGGGGAAGCTCTGCACCCACCACCTTCTTGGGGCGCCTCCAGTTGCTCCTTTGGTGGGCCCAGGGCCCGGGGGCCGGGTCCCAGGGTGGGGAGTAGGGGGAGAATCACCATCCTGCAGAGGCCAGGTGTACCTCGCCAACATGGGGTCCCTTCAAACCCTGTGGTCTCTAGGCTGAGTGACTCCAATCCGTGCGGGGCGGGGCAGTGACCTGGACATTATGACTCAACCCTGTGCAGGGCACACACTGATGCGTTCTAGAGCCTTCTGGCCTCTGTTACTATCTTCCAAGGCCCGGTTCCATTGTTTTCCTTACCTTACCCCCTTTCCTTTCCTCATGAAACAAGCCACCCCAATCCTTTGACAGTAACTCCCCCCTCCCGTCCCACCTACCCACTTTGGGGGCCTTAGATCGTGACAACATCTATATTTCACATCGGTGCCCTTAAAAGGGGGGAGGGGGTGGATGAAAATGAAGCCACTCGACAGCATGGTTTCCATAGTGGGGGCGCCAGACACCCAACTTATTCCAGTTGAAATTTCTCAGAAATGGAGATCGGACCGTATACAAATTGTACTTGATCTTTTTCCATCTCTGCAAGAATTTGTTCAGAGGTAAGGAAGGGATGAACCACACATCAGAGAAAGACATTTGACAAATAAGACTTCTGGTGTTATATACCCTTCACTATGGTTAATCATCAGCAATCCACTTTACACACTGGGCAGGCCCTCTACCGCTGATGTGCAACTCTCTGGGTTTAAAAAAAAATTAAGTTGTGTGTATGTGTGTGTGTTCTCAGAGTGTGCATACACATGCATGTGCATGCATGCTCACATGTATGTGCACATGCATATTTTACATGTGTGTGTGCAGAACACCCGTAGTTGGTGTTGGGTGCCTTCATGGATTACTCTCCACCTTATGTGTTGAGGCAGGGTTTCTCCTTGAACTCAGAGCTCACTAATTCAGCTAGTCTAACTTGCCCCTGGGATCTCCTGTGTTCACCTCCCACGCACTGGGATTGTAGGTCACCAAGCCCACCTGGCATTTATGTGGGTGCTGGGGGTCTAACCTCCTCCCCTCATGTGTGGGCCATTAAGTGTTTTACCCAAATGAGCCATCCTCTCAGGGTCTGTCCCCCGCCCCCAGCCTTTTTTTTTTTTTTTGAGACAAAGTTCTATGTAGACCAGACTGTCCTTCAACTTGATATGCAGCCAAGGCTGACTTTAAAAACCTTATCTTTATTCCTCCATATCCTGTGTAGTGCTGGGGTTACAGGCCTGCATCACCACAGAGGGTTTATTTGCTTCTGGGAATGAAACCTCCATGCTAGGCTAATACTCAACCAACCAAGCTACATTTCCTAGCCCCAACCCCAGCCTTCCTCCACGGTTTCCCTTTGAGACAGATTCTCACTAAGTTGTAGAGTCTGGCCCTGTTTAGGCAAGCCTTGAACTCACGATCCTCCTGCCCCAGTTTTCTGAGTAATGGGATGGCAGGCCTGTGCCACCAGGCCCAGCCCACGTGTACTTTCTAAAGCATAACAGCAGACAGTCTGGCTTCCTCAGCATCTCCTGAAGCTGGTTTTACTTCTCTTTAACAGGACTGTAGAAGACATTCTGACCATGGCCTCCCCATCATGCTTCCACTCAGAGGATGAGGACTCTCTGAAAGGATGCGAGATGTACGTGCAGAAGCATGGCATCCAGCAGGTGCTCAAAGAATGCATTGTGCACCTTTGTGTCGCCAAGCCTGACAGGCCACTGAGGTTCCTTCGGGAGCACTTCGAGAAACTGGAGAAGGTCAGTGCCCCCAGTACCCTTGATAGGTTCCCTGGGCAACGCTGCTTTAAGTCCTCCCTTGGAATTCCAACAAATCGATATCCCCATGTCTCTGAATTTATCAGACCATGGGAAGCAGGGCTGGGGCTGAGGCTCCATGGTAGAGAGCTTGCTTTGAATCGCCCAGTTAAGAGTTAAGGGTGTGGATCAGTAACCCCAGCACTCTTACCTGTATGCCTCCAGTGAAGAGTTAGGAACATAGTTTGGCAGTAGAGTGCCTGCTTAGAATCCCCCAGTGAAGGGATGGGATGTGGCTCAGTGGTAGAGCCCCTGCCTAGAATCCCCTAGTGAGAGACTGGGGTGTGGCTCAATGGTAGAGCCCCTGCCTAGAATCCCCTAGTGAGAGACTGGGGTGTGGCTCAGTGGTAGAGCCCCTGCCTAGAATTCCCTAGTGAGAGACTGGGGTGTGGCTCAGTGGTAGAGCACCTGCCTAGAATTCCCCAGTAAAGGGATGGGGTGTGGCTCAGTGATAGAATACCTACCTAGAATCCCCTAGTGAGAGACTGGGGTGTGGCTCAGTGGTAGAACCCCTGCCTAGAATCCCCCAGTAAAAGGATGGGGTGTGGCTCAGTGATTGAATACCTACCTAGAATCCCCTAGTGAGAGACTGGGGTGTGGCTCAGTGGTAGAGCCCCTGCCTAGAATTCCCTAGTGAGAGACTGGGGTGTGGCTCAGTGGTAGAGCACCTGCCTAGAATTCCCCAGTAAAGGGATGGGGTGTGGCTCAGTGATAGAATACCTACCTAGAATCCCCTAGTGAGAGACTGGGGTGTGGCTCAGTGGTAGAACCCCTGCCTAGAATCCCCCAGTAAAAGGATGGGGTGTGGCTCAGTGATTGAATACCTACCTAGAATCCCCTAGTGAGAGACTGGGGTGTGGCTCAGTGGTAGAGCCCCTGCCTAGAATCTCCCAGTGAGGGGCTGAGGGTGTGGCTCAGTGGTAGAGCACCTGCCTAGAATCCCCCAGTGAAGGGGATGGGTATGTGGCTCAGTGGTAGAGCACCTGCCTCCCCACCCATTTATGAGTCCCTGGGCTCCATTCCCAATGATACAGTTGACCTGAGACTGGCCTTTGTTAGGCCTTGGGTTCATCTTTGGGCCCTAGAATCCCTCTTTCTATTTCTTTGAGGTACACAATCTCCAGAACTCTCATGGATTATGAATATGAGCCTGGTTTGTGGCTGTGGGGTTCACTGGTAGCTTTAAGGTGAGGCAGATGGGGATGAGGTCTGGTTATGTAGGTATGCATTGAGAACATTGTAGTCCAAATTAACCTTATACAGGCAGCAGTCCTCCTGCCTCGTTTTCTTCAGGCCTGGGATTACAGATCTGTACCACTTTGCCTAGCTGAGTCTAGTTATAGAAACCATTTGAGGCCTGATGGTCAGACAACCTAGCCCTGTCTTCAAGCCCCCAGGTCCCAGCAAGGCAGTGAAGAGCTGACTCAACAGTTAAGAGCACTGGTTGCTCTTACTTAAGACCTGGGTTCAATACCGAGCACCCACATGGTGTTTTTTTTTCTTCCGAGACAGGGTTTCTCTGTATTGTTTTGGAGGCTGTCCTGGAACTCTCTCTTGTAGACCAGGCTTGGTCTCGAACTCACAGAGATTCACCTGCCTCTGCCTCCCGAGTGCTGGGATTAAAGGCGTGCACCACCACCACCACCCGGCGCACATGGTGTTTTATAAACATCTGTGACTTGACTCTCCTGGGATCCAGTGCCCTCTTTGGTCTTACAGTCACCAGGCACACTCATATTTCATCTGTGTACATACATGAACACACATGCATACATATAGCTACACATATCCATAAAAATAAATTAAAGGCAGGGGCTGGAGAGATGGCTCAGAGGTTAAGAGCACTGACTGCTCTTCCAGAGGTCATGAGTTCAGTTCCCAGCAACCACATGCTCACAACTATCTGTAATGAGATCTGGCGCCCTCTTCTGGCGTGCAGGCAAACATGTAGGTAGAACTCTGCATACATAATAAATAAAATCTTTTAAAAATTAAAGGCAAAGAGCTCCGATCATGCAAACCATGTGGGTGATGTGGGTGTGTGTAGTCCAGGTCCATGTTGATCTGCATACCTGACTTGCAGAATGGATGGAGGAATACACCCCAGACACGTTTGGTGGGAAGAAGCTCCCTCCCTCCCTCCCTCTCCCTTTCTCTTTCTCTGTGGTAAGTCATACTACATAGCTCAGGCTGGCCTCAAACTTACAATCTCCCTGCCTCAGCAAGTGCAAGGATTATAAGCACAGGCTACCTCCCCTCTCTAGCCCTAGTGCTCTGAGGACAGAGGCCCTCATGACTGACACTCCTCCATGTTCCTCAACTCCTCCTCTGGGTTCTTCCTCAGGCTGGGTTGGCTGGCCAGCAGGAATCTTGGCATGAGCCCATTGCCATATCCTGTTTCCTTTCCAGGCAGAGGCTCCATCTTTCCTTACTGTATCTCTCCACCCGGAGTATTGCTGAGTGTCACCTGAGGTCATTTAACTATCCCTTGTCCCAGTGTCCTGGAGTCCAGTTGGGATTGGGGAGCCTCATAGAGGCTGAGGCTTGCTTTTGAACACTTGCAAGCCCTCTGGTGTTAAACACTTTTCATGGACACCTCCTGTAAACACATAGCTCTGACCCAAAGCAACTGCTGCTACTGCTGTTTATTATTATATTTTTATTTTAGATTTATGTATTTTCTTTTATGTGTATGAGCATTTTGCTTGTATGCATGTCTGTGTACCATGTGCATACTTGGTGCCCATGGAATTTAGGAGAGGGCATTAGATCCCCTGGAACTGGAGTTGTGGACAGTTGTAAGTCACTAGATGTGGGTGCTGGGAATCAAACCCAGGTCCTATGCAAGAATAAGTGCTCTCAATGGTTGAACTATCTCTAGTCCATATTGTACAGTTTTCTTTGGAAACAGGGTCTATCTGTGCAGCCCAGATTGGTCTCAAGCACATGATCCTCCTGCTGTCGGCCTTGAGTGCTGGGACTACAGACATGCTCAGCCATGCCTGGCTCAAAAGCATGAACCTTGTTCTTCTGTTTAAGACAGTCCATCCATCATGAACGGAGGGCTACTCAGTGGCAGAGTTCAGGCCTTCTCTGGTGTACAGCTGTGAAAAGTCTTGGCTCTGCCCCCAATTCTGAAAACAAAGTAGTAAATAGCACTTGGTAAATGAATGAATCCTATCAAAATATGTTTTTAAAATATGTATCTTATTGCTATGGTTCACTATGTATGTATGTGTGTGTGTGTCTGCATGTGTATGCCACATAGGTGAAGGTAGCCTTGGAGGCCAGAAGAGGGTGCTGAATCCCCTGGAACTGGATGCTGGGAACAGAACTGGGGTCCTCTGTAGGAGTAGTAAGTGCTCGTTACCATTGAGACAACTCCCCAAACACTTAAAAAATACACACATATAAATATATAAATTATTTTTAATTAATTTGTATTTGTGTGTGTAGAGTATGTGTGTGTATGTGTTCATGTGTACCTGTGTGCCTATGATGTGTGCACCTGTGTGTGGAGGTCAGAGGTCAATGTTGGGTGTCTTCCTTAGTGTCTCTCTGATTTATTGCTTTGTGACAGGATTTCTCACTCAACCCAGAGCTTACCCATTTAACTAGGCTGGTTGGCTCTTGAGCGCCAGGGATTGGCCTGCCTCTGTCTCCTTAGTGCTGGGATTACAAATGTGCTGGAGATCTACACTCAGGCTCTCATGCTTTATCCATAAGCACTGACTGAACCATCTTCCCAGCACCCCCAACAACATTAAAAAAGAATTCATGATACAAGAGCTAGTTCCAGGACAGCCTCCAAAGCCACACAGAAACCCTGTCTCGAAAAAAAAACCAAAAAAAAAAAAAAAAAAAAAAAAAAAGAATTCATGAGCCTGGCTTGGTGGTACATGCCTGTCATCCAGGCACTCAGAATGTTGATAGGAGGATCAGGAACTCAAGGTCAGCCTGGGCTACATAGGGAGACCCGTCACAAAAATATAACTCAATACGCAATAACAAATTAAATCATGTCTATGAAAGAAAAAATTTAAGTTCAGAACTAGAGAAAAGATCTAAAGCCCTCTGAAGTCTCCCACCTCCACCCCAGTGTTACTTGTTATTGTTGTCTGTGTGGGTTTGTCATGCTGTATATACACATGCTCTCTCTGACAGATGTAGGGTGCCTTTCTCCATCACTCCCTACTTTAGTTCCATGAGACAGGGTCTTCCACTCACCCCGGAGCTAGCAGGCCCCAGAATTGGGGTTACAGGTGTGCCCATAGCTATATCCAACTTGTTTGTCTTTTGTTGTTTTTCAAAATCTGGTTTCTCTGTGTAGCCCTGGCTGTTCTGGGACTGGATTTGTAGACCAGGCTAGCCTTGAACTCAGAGATCCACCTGCCTCTGCCTCCTGAGTGCTAGGACTAAAGGCGGCACCACCGAGTCCAGCAACACCCAGCTTGTTATGTAGATGGTAGTGATTCAAACTCAGAATCCAGTGCTTCCCAAGCTAATGCTTTTACCAACAGAGCCAATCCCCACCCCCATTCCCTCTTGTGCTGTTTAAAAACACTTAGATGTGTGTGGCCATGTGGCAGTGGCAGTTTTATATTTTGTGTGTTTTTCTGCTTGTCATCTGTTCTGTGGGGACATCCTTTCCAATTGCTTAGTGTGTGATTGCTCAGTATTGTGTGCGTGCGCACGTGGGTGCAAACATTCCCGTGCAGAGGTGGAGGGGCAGCTAGTCATATCACGTCCAAGAGCAGAGAGAAAATGAATGCATATATGTGGTGCTCAGCTAGTTTTCTCTACTCTTTGGATTTTTGTGGGGCTACAGGTTCTTACTATGTAGTCTTGGCTGGCCTGGAACTCCACTCGATAGACCAAGTTGAACTTGCAGACATCTTTCCTCTGCCTCCTGAGTACTGAGATTAAAGGCCTGTGCCAGCAGA